TTTATGGATCATAAATTGCCTATTTTAAAGTTACAAAAAAGCCGTACCAGGATATATAACACAATTCAATTATGCGTTTAAATTACAAAGTATATAATACTTTTGTTTGTATTATAAATTATTAAAATGTTGAACTATTTCAATTTGATCAATAATGGACAGATTCTAATTATTTACGTTTGACCAGTTTTTATTTTTTTACAGTATTTAATTCGTGAGTTTTTTTTTCCTTACTGAATAAGGAGTAAGGGTCTTCGAGTGTATTAAAATAATAAAGGTATGGGTCTTTGGCGAAATGCGCCTTGAAAAAACTACGATAAAAAATCTGTAACACAACTATTTACGATTATAACGACTGACCTTCCAACCAAATTGCATACTGTAAAAGTTCAAGATAATGATTGGAACATAAGTATAACCATTGATTATAAATACTACTATTTATAATCAATATTGTATATTCATATTATATCATACACGCATTATACATAAAATAATACATAATATATCATTATAATACTATTAGGTACAGTGATTGTATTATGTATATATTTTAGGAACAAGGTGATTTTTCAACTGTAATACACATTACATAACATGCAAACATGCATAATATCTTAGTCAATGTATGTGTTTTTTTTTTTTTTTAATATAACTATTTATTATTCCCTTTATTTTATTAAATTAAATACAGCATCAGTATGAATGGTCCATATTATTTTTACCCTAGTGAATTTGTAGGGATTTAGTCATCTATGTAATTTAGTATTAACTTCAAAAGTATTAATTTAATAAATATTACTTATTACTATATCAGAACAGATGCAGTGAAAATTATAAAGGAATACATATAATTTCAATCTACAATATTTTATTTATATACCTATTTTTTTTAATGCGATTTAACTATTTCATTAGATCTTTACATCTTATAGGCATTCCACTGTTTCCTTGAGTATTGTTCTATGAATATGATTCCGTTCATTGCTATAGTCAACTATCAAAAAATAGTTTTACGACTGTTTTTATGTATACTCACCTACAATGTTCATTACATAAACACAATGTTCATTAATCATTATATATATTTTTTAATTTCTAACTTGTAAGTTCTAATTGAATTATTTGTATTTTTTACGTCATGGTGTTTTAACATATTTTTATGTTTAAAATATAGTATAAATTTACATAACAAGATATTTAGTAACAATATGTCATTTATATTTATCAAATAGCTCATACACATATATTTAGTGTGTAGGTACCTATATAAAATATAATATATACTCTAAATAATAAGTAGTACAATAAGTATATCTTTTATCTTTTAGTGTTTAAACGTGTTACTATTTTAGAAAAAAACACTGCCTCCTGACGTTAACGGATTTCGGATAAACGGCAGGGTAAATGTGTTCAAACGTGTTTCACCAATAGAATAAACACTAAAACAAATTTACTGAACAATATGATTCTCCATTAAAAACGGGTATACAAATTACCACTCTGTCAATAATGTGTTTTGCATTTATAATTACACTTATATAAAATACCTAGACGGATTAAAATTTAATTTGAATACTTAATATATTTGAGTATTTCCCTATACATATAAGTACTATCATCATCGTCAGATCCATTTAAATCCTATTCAGTTTTGTATTATCAAGTATTATAATAATATGTTCGATTAATAAAATGTAACATTGTACTTTACGAAGATTCTACTTCATCAAAACATATCGGTTGGTATTTATAGGTTAAAATCACATAAATAATCCAAGTTATTATTATAATAAGTTAATTAAAACGATAATATTAATTTTGTTACAATATTAAAGTAGGTATATATTACCTACAAATATGGAATACAAATATGGAAGTATTAGAATCAACTACACCGAGTATTTAAAAAAAAGGTTGTAATTATTATCATGACAAAAAATGTATACAAAATAGTTTTATTTATAAAACAATTTTGCTGTTAAAAAAAGAAAATATTTTTTTTTTCGTTGTAGAAAAAATGGTCATTTACATAATTCCTTAAGATTTAATACCAAAATCAGATGTGGGAGTTACCGGGTTAATATTGTGTATAACTGCAAATATAATATCTGTATCATAAATTCATAATTAATTAAGTCGAGTTGAATAGCACAGCTAGTAAATTGTGGCAGTATAATATAGAACTACTCCAAGTCACGTAAGTTGAATGATTGAAGTTGAAATCGCATGGCATACTGTTACTTAATTGTATAATGTGTTCAAGTTATTTAAATTTAAACTTCAAAGTGCACGATGTAAACATGATTTTTCCTTGAACATGAGCTTATTACATAATTTCTACAGCTAAAAATAAATAAATATAGGTAATATACCTAGGCCATCTACAAAACGAACACGTCAAAGGTCCCTTGGTAGTTGGTTTGTACACTAAACGGCCAGATCCCCGTATACCTAATCATATTGAATTAAAAAACCAACTATAAAAATTCAACTACCGACAATATTTAATGCTTCGGAAAGAGAAACTGATCATTTCGATCTGAAATGAAACGAACAAATAAATGTTTTAACACCACAGCTTTCACAACATTTCAGACACTGAATCGGGGAACACCTAGTGAAGACATCAAAGTATCAAAAAACATATGGTATATGTACTAAAAAATATATACGACAATTTCAACAATTATACATAATATAATTTATTATTGTAATCATACATCCTATAACGATGATGGACTTTAGCTACGGGGGTGGTTATATTAAATGACCAGGTAAACTCAAAATCTACTATACTTCTTCTTGTTCTTCTTATGTTTGTCGACCATTAAGACCATCCCGTCACACATATAATATTCTCCAGCCTTCCCTATCATCCACTCGTGCTTTCCAATCCAGTCCTCCATTCAGACATTCAGTGCCTCCACGTCTTTCCTTATAACATCTTCACACCTCGATCTGGGTGTCTCTAGTGGTATTTTCCCAACTCGGTTCTCGTCTATGACTATCCTTATGATTCCGGCTTTTAAAAGAATGTACAGCCCACCGAAGTCTTAGGTTTCTGATTATGTCTGATATATTTTCCTTCCGGAATAGCCTTTCCCGTTCATCATTTTTCCTCGATCTCCACTTTCCAAAATCTACTATACAGCAAATAGATTTCCCCGGTTTTATTTTATTATTGTTTGTTAGTTGTTCTCTCTCATTGACACTTATTTTACAAGTTATATTAAATTACTGTATCAGCATATTTTGAATTACTTAGCTATCGACTTTATAATATAAGACTTGCACAATTAATAACAAAAATGTATATTAATTATATAAGACTGAGTTGAGATAAAATTAATTATGTTTTATTATAAAACAGTAAATTAAACTTAACAATATTATAAACTAATAAGGTTGTTTACTAATGTAACTGAACACATCAAGTACCTATTCAAGTTCACTTGAAAATAAAAAATGAATTAAAGAAATTCATGAACTATACTCTATTCAGAATAGAGTATAAGTAAGTAAAGTATATTCGATGAACAAGCTTGTTTAAATGTTTTTAATTTTAATTTTATATTATGAACATTTTATGGTTTATAATAAGAATCAAATTATAAATAATGATAATGGTGATTTGAAAAATTGCAATATTTCAAGGTGTGACATAGTACTAGAATATTTGTAATTTAATATTTATATATTTTTATGTTGAATAAGCGCAGAATACAACCAGTGTGGTTTTGCGTCAAAAACAAAGTTATGAGTTATTTTTTTATTTTTTTAATATGAGCTTATAACACTCGTACTATATAGTAGATATATACAAATATAAGTAATGTACTAATGTATAAGTAATACGAATTTCAAACCAAAAAAATGAACTATTAAACATTTTAGTAATAACAATTCATTAATATTTATGTGTGAGTGTACATAATATTTTAAAATACATTAAAAGTCGATTAAAAAATGGTTCAGACCGCATTATTTTATTTATAGGTCACACGTTACAACAAAGCCTATTGTAATAAATAATATTATTACAACCGTTTTGTATGACGTTTTGCACACAACAGTGAGACAATACTAAAATTCTGTTAAATATAATTTTACATCGATAAATTGATTTTTATGAACTTTAAATGTTTATACAACTAATATAATAATACATAACATAAAATAATTTTCTATGTTGTGAGTTCAATAATTATAACTACTTATTTTTATTGGTTCTATTGTTATAATAGAAAAAAATCATAAGACATAATAATATAGGTACCTACCAATAATTTTTAACTGCATTTTTCATTTATAAAACAGATCAGCCATTTTATTGGTTTAAATATTTTTACTGCCACATTTACATGGCATAAATATAATTTCAGAACTCCTATAATTTTACTGGCGTAATAAAATATTAACCACAGTTTTAAAAACTATCTTGCAGATAGGTAGGTAGTTAAAAAGATATTTCTTAGAACACAATTGCATTGTGTCAAAGGTTTTTGGTATCGATTACATATATATGATATAAAGTACAAACAATCAAACTTAGTATTTTGAAATCTATAAGCTTATTGAGGTTTCTAAACATAAGTTTAGAATACCTTATATCCCCGTTGTGTCCGCAGTCTCTAGTTACAAATACCTGCATATATAACAATCGTAACTATAGTTACGATTGTTGATATTCATTTTTTCAGTTTAATTTAAATATTCATAATTTAAAACAAAAAAAGGCACTAAGTAGTAATAGTAGTCACACACCAACAAAAGTTATGGAGTATTTACTCCAGTAGCCACACGTGTTCGGCGCCACTGAGACCTAGGCTAACGCACTTACGCACCAGAATCGTTACACACAAAAAAATATTTCTAACAATTATTTATTTACAACAATATAACAGTACATAACATTTTCAAAATCTGTGAAAACTGACAGAAGTGTCAGTAGTGCGTAGTCACAAAAACGTCAGCCGACGGTTGGACGCGTGGACACATCAGACGCCACAACAAAACATGCGGTGGATAAACCGCTTTGTCCTGCTCCAGAGCGTAAGGCGATTACCCTTGGCTTCCGGCGAGTGGTCAGCCCGCCGCGTTCCGTTTTCAGTTTCCAGTTCCAATGGCAATGTAATGTTCCTGGCGGAAGACCACCGCCTCCTGGCCACGTCACCGTCGCGTCCGGCCAGGACTTGGCAGTCCGCTAGCCGCCGCAGGACTTTCGGCGTCTTTAGGACCGCAGATGGATTGACAACGACGCTGTCCACTGACAGTAGGAGCGGCCGGTTAAACGCCGCGTCCACGATCGCCATGGCTGACCGGAAGGCCGGGCCCGCATAATTCGGCAGCCGGATCTGTCGGTAAACCGGTGCGGCGGCCGGCTCACCGAACAAATCTAGTCCCATTATCTCGGCGTCTGACCTGTAGAGACTGTGTGTTGGACGATCCGCCCCGGCCGCGATGTCTACTGCGTCTTGGACATTAGTCCGACTCGGCTGTGCCGAGACATGCGGCTCGGAGTCATATCTGCGGCTTGGCTGCTCTGTAACCGCGATGTTCCGGTCCACGTTCCATCCTCGGGGAAAATTGAACTTTGCGGCCCTTAGTTCCGCAAAAACTCTGTTCATTTGTTCGGTCTCCGCGGAAAGCGACTTGTTTTCAACCGGATTCATAATAATGATACGATTTCAATATATTTACAATACGATAATATAATATAACGATGTCAAACCAATGATAGCTTTTTTTTTACAAATGTGCGATTAACAAAAATGATAGGCTGTGTATTTTAATCAAATCTAGAGCAACGTGGATGTTTGTTGATTTTCAATAGGCCAGTATTACTCAGTATAATTATGCACTCATTTCAAATATAAAAAAGGCAGGTAAGTGGATGTCGCTCAGCTGTACAGTAGGTTACAAGTTGGTCATTGTTTAATGGATTGTATTAAACTTGAATTCAATGATATAATATCATTGTATAAGAAAACGATTCTGAACGGAGACGGTTTGTCAGACGTCAGTCTGTATATTTTATATTGTCATAAATAATTGTTTTATATTTTTTTATACTATTTCCTACCATGAACCTAATCACCCGCGGTTCTATGATAAGTCGGTACTGACTCATAAGTTAATGATACATGTTAATAATTTATGATATTTATATAGATAATACCTACCTATTTTTTTTTTATTCGTTGCTACGGTGATAAACAAATTGTTAGAAATTAATATCCCATTTTAAGCGGTTTTTCGTAATTTTTCAGTACTTTTTCCCGTGGCATTAAATAACTATTGAGAAAATCGAAAAATGACCTCTCTAAAGTACCATCTTGGTCCAATTTGCTAAAAGATAAAGTACTATATGTTGAAATCAAAGCACTCCTTCTGGTAGAAATTTTGTATACAGGATATAAAAAAAAAAGAAAAAAAAAAGAAAATAAACACCATTGTAAAACCACTAGCTTCCTTGCTCCGCTCAGAATCTAAAATAGAAATACATTTAACTCAAATAATTAAATAACTCTATAACAATTCTATTCAAAGTAGACAGTTCTATAGCCACCCACTCCTTCGCGCCTACAACTGATTAAGCTCCGAGGTATTTATCCCACTCTACCAACTAGTTGCCGCCTTAAATACACGGGAATAAGCTAGAACGGACGAATTTTGATCTCCACCAAGAAGCGCTTTTACGACGACCAAAGTATAACAAATATTAAAAAATATCAAAATATTAGTATTTAATATACATAGATTCATATTAAAAATATTAAAAATAGAGACTAGAATATTACAAAGTTTGCCAAATTCTTTCAACATTGTGAATGGAATTATAGTTTATTGCGTTGTATTGAAAATTAAAATACGTTCAACCAGGAATTTATGGCGTTCGCTGAGTAAGTTTTCCTAACTTGTTTATCGTTAATGAACCTACCTACATGAAATTAGATTAAAAGTATTGCTTTTCATCGGCTCAATATTACAAACATTACGATGCCGCCTGCCATATTATATTAAACTATTGCAATACTAGTAGTCTCCTACTGCTACTTCTTAATATTAATGAACATTATGAGGTAGGCAGTTCAAAAACTGATATATGTTTAACGTTCTACATTATAGAATATATACAGACGAAATATAATTTAATATACTATTAGATAGGTACTTTTACACAAATTTAAACTCTCAAGATAATTTAACTTTCTTTACATGCATGCAAAAGCAAGTTTAAATTATTCGTATTCAATAAATAATAATATTGAATTAAATTATATTAGTTCTTGTTCAAGTTTATAATATATGAATATATTATTGCTCATTCTGATCATTAAAAAAAAGTTGATTTCTTTCATATAAAATGGAAAAATAAAATAAATAAATACCTATCTGAAGAATTTACGATATTATTAACAAAAACTTTAAAGAACAACAAACTAACATAAATAATGCCTAATTAATATCAATAATGCCGCCTCGTGGTTCAATATACCAAATATTCCACTCTAATCTGACTTCCCAAGTCCCAACCTCTAAATGTTCCTACACTACAGTGCTTTTTTGTTTCTCCTAACAGTATTAGTCCAGTCAATAATTGCCCTTGTCTAATAAAAACTGAAATAACACCACTCAGGGGCGTAATTGGGGGGATTAGGGGGATAGATCCCCACCAAAACTTTTTTTTTACTGCTAACATTTTGATCGAAGTATTGGTAATGACCATTAATGCTTGCTAAAAACGTATATCCCCCCAAACCAAATTGCTAGCAGTAAAAAAAAATGTTTTGGGGGGATCTATCCCCTTAATCCCCCCCTAATTACGCCAATGAGTGGCGTCATTTCAGTTTTTATTAGACTATAGGGCAATTTTTCACTTTTCCGACTCAACATTTTTTTCACTCAGATTCTCATACCATAGTGCCATAGTGGTAAACGGGGGTGAGGGGGGGAGTGTGGTAAATGTGCCGACTTAAGGTTGATGTAAATACTAGACTGGGGCAAATGCCCCAGTTGCCCTCCCCCAAATGACGCCACTGTAATCTACGTTCGATCCGTTTGCAAACTACGTGCAATGTGCATACGTAGATATATATCATTATAGCGCGAGGCGCCACATTCTATGACGGGTGGATGAATTTTGCGCTTATCTATTACTCTTACACTAAGAACGTCAAGATCCTTTCTTGTCACAAATTTTATGATCTTCAATTTTTATTGAAGCTATTTTTATCGTTATGTTATTAATTTTAGAGATATTATAAAAAAAACCGTAAAAAAGTGAAAAATATCACATAAAATCCAAGATGGCTGACGGTTGAGGACCTCGGAGGGATGGCGCATTTTTTTTGGTCAATCAGTCCCCCAAGACGAAATATTTCGCCAAGTTTCCAAACTTAAGTATTTTTTGCAAGTAAATTAACATTGAAACTTTTTTACGAATGTGATGAGATTTGAGGTTATGACTTGGAATATATTCTAAAGTATTCGCGTTAAAGCTCGATAGTTTGACTGGTGATGTCAATAACTGTCAACGGAAACTTATCGTTCCCAAACAGATACAAAATTTAAAATTGTTATCACTAATCACCAAACACTGATTCGTGGAATAAATAATAATACATGATCATATTTTTTGTTCATTTTGGTAATAACACAATTATTTTTAACAAAAGACACTGAACACGACTTGGTGCTAAGTCAATTAATTCACTTAAAGAGTATTAATTAATCAGAAGCAAACAAATAACTTTGATGTTTATCCGCACTGTAAGAATAACACACATTATTTAACATTGGGTTATAATTAAATAAATATACGAAAGTAATTGCTACCGAGTAACCGACGAACTATGAACAAATGCGGTAAAATAAGTTATCAAGTAGGGAACACAAACATGGCTTTTAATTTATTGGTCATTTGTCTGTTTAAATATGTGTCAGGGATTATCATCAAAGGTAACTTAATCTTGACCATTAAAGTTATAATTAATAATATTTAGAAGTTTAAAATGAATTTTCTTCTACTAATAATATAGTGTACTGTGCACACAATAGCTTTGATGATATTCAATATACATACAAAAGATAATTTAAGTTTGAACAAGATTATAACTGTCTCGTTACACCTGTTTTGGGTTAAATGGTTAAAGATCAGTGTTTTTTGGCTAACACTTTTCCACGCAGCAAAAAATCTCAGTCAGTTTTTATTGCAGCACATAATATATAGATTATAAATTTACTGTAATTTTGACAAGTACCTATATTTTTAATTAACACAGTTGTTTTTGAGTGTAACAGTAAAAAATCCAGACATGGTTTAGGGTCTAACAACGATAAATTATTGAACTCTAAAATTAACCTTAAGCGGAACTCTAATAAAACCAAAAAGGTTTTTCTAGAATACCTATACAATTTCGGAACTATAGAAGTACTCTGAGATAAATACTAGATGTAACGTTGTACCAAAATAATATTCACGGAAAATGAAAAATGAACATAAATGTGAAACGAATTGCTCACTTCGATTAGAATCAAAAAGCAAACCAATTTACAGTCGTATATAAACAGATTTCCATATGAAATCGTTTATTAAATGTAATGGTTTATCATTATTAACAAATTTTAAGACAACCACTGAAGTCTATAAGTGTTCTCCCACCTAACTCCTTTATCTTTATTAGTTAGTTCGTGTATTTTTGATAGTTAATAAAAATAATCAAATGTTAAAAAAAAAAAATATGAAGAAATGGATCCTACCATATACTTCCTTTAAGAAAGGTCAGATTAAAATAACAATCATTTTTCTCTGATCGATTTGCACTTAAAAATTACCAGATATAATATTTTATGAATGCTTTAGGTATATTTTAATTAATACCTACATTTAAATAAAAAATCTCATTTTTATCACTAATTCTTTTTAAATAGCAATTTTAATAGAAATAATAAAATAGCTTTGTATGGCCAAACAATTAATTACTGAATAAAAAAATGTCTTTAATTTTGATATACACAGAATTTTCAGGATAAAAAAACTTTTTAATAATATACCTACTGTGTAATTATTACATAAATGAGAAGGCTGTTTTTGAATTAATACAAGAACAAATTAAAATTACAGAACTCAAAAATATTAAATAACTATAATCTATAAGGTGTCGTACTGTTATTTCCGATACCTATTACTTTAGTTGTATTATTTTTGAATTCTCAAACTGTGTCCAAGTATTTCGGATAAAAATAAAAAGTTTAAAGTTCAAAAATAAATGTGGGTCGGCGTAACGATGATTTCTTTATAAGCTTAAAAGTTATTTGTCACCTAATATATATATAAAATAATTGCTGTTCGTTAGTCTAGCTAAAACTCGAGAACGGCCTGACCGATTTGGCTCAAATTTTTTTTTAAGATGTTCGTAATTGAAAGGAGAAGATTTATACGAAAGAAATTTTTAGGAAAATCAACCGGAAAAGTAGGAAATCTGGATGAAAAAAATATAATAGTGATTAGTGGCGCAATAGTGTATTATAATTTATATTGGTTGCTATTGGTTAATCGGGCATGTTTGTTGATTTGTATTTTGTTTTTTGTCAATATAAAGCGTGTCTTGGCGATGCAGTTTTGAGCAACCAGGTTACTAGACCTACAGGTTATTAACTACTTTTTTGA